GATCCTGCAACCATCATCCCAAGACAGTGGTCCCATTCTGAGCGCTGACCTTGGAGGGCAAGGACATGTCCCCAAATTCCTGAGTGGAGCACATGCAACCAAAGAAACCTCTAGTGTTTCACATTGATAACCTTGCATAGGATAATTCTGATGTGTGATTGTGCACAATACTTCCTCCTAGTAGTGAGGCTAAGAAGATTGGGGTTTGGGGGTGGCAAATGGGCAAGAGAACAGCATCTTGCCGCATATAAGTGAGGGTAGTTATTCCAATAACAATAGCACTTTCATTTTAATTCATTCTATGTAATGTTTTCAGTAGGAGAGAAGGATTATAGAGGAGAGGACAGAGGCCAGAGAGCCAGGGAAGATTCTTTTAAATTTTTGTTTATTATATTATTTTGTTTATATGATATTACATTGAAGAGCCTGAAAGTGCCAGGAGAGAGGAGAAGAATGAAAAGTTAGATGATAATCCAGTGAGCAAGGTTCTTGTGGAGGCAGAAGGAAAACGGCTCCAGCTAATTTATTTGGCCTGGAATTACCCTCTGCTCTTTTAACTTCCTCTCCATGCTTCTGTATCCATGCTCCCCTATCCTTCTCCAAAGCCTCATCTCTGATGGCTTCATTTCACTCTCATGGCACTCTCCGTTCCCCATTCTGTGTTTCTCCTGAGTCTAGCGTACCCCTCCCAGCTGCCTCATGCTGCCATGCTGTGATTTTTGTTTACCACTGTTGGTAGTTGAGAACTACAGTATACCTGGGGCCCCCTAAATCAGGACTGCCTCTCCCCTTTTAAAGAGAATAACTTTTGTTCTATTAGATAAAACCATCTTATTCTCTTTTGTAATATTCTAAAGCAACTAGCTCTCTTAGAATATTAGTATACTTAATACCTCCCATTTATAATTTTTTCTCAGTGCACTCAAGGTCTTGAGTCCCCCGTCCTCACTGTGCAGGACCTGGCAGTGAATCCACCCCTTGGGATGTGGTGGTAGGTAGATTCTGTTACCGCATATGGGAGTACATTTCCCCCATGGGTCAGAATGGTGTTACAGGGATGTGGTAGGAAAAAATCTGCATCCAGCAGGACACAGTGGCCAGCAGATGGAGCCAGCCAGAAGAATTCAGAAGCAGGTGATAACCCACACGTTAGTAGGTTCTCAGCCACTAGGCCCAGATATAGGATTTCATGTCTCTTCAAGGGAAACTGACAGGAGAAACATCTGTGCCAAGCTTAGAGAGAAGGCCTTGAGGGCATGTCAGAGCTCAGGTATCAGGACTGGGATCAACAGACATGGTCAGACTCTGAGTGAGGCCCATGCTTTGTCCTCCAGGGTGAAAGTCTCTCCCAGCTCAGCTGAACTCTGGTTCCAGAATCATCTCTGTGGTTGACCTGCAGGTGGGAATCAAGTGGTTGCACTGTGGGCAGAAAAGGGCTGACAAGACAGAGGGGAAGGGAGGGAAGGCCCAGCATATTATAAAAACCCAACGAGGCTGGGCGCGGTGGCTCAGGCCTGTAATCTCAGCACTTTGGGAGGCCGGATCACTTGAGGTCAGGAGTTTGAGACCAGCCTGATCAACAGAGTGAAACCCCATCTCTACTAAAAATACAAAATTAGCCGGGCATGGTGGCATGCGCCTGTAATCCCAGCTATTCAGGAGGCTGAGGTGGGAGAATCACTTAAACCCAGGAAGTGGAGGTTGCTGTGAGCCGAGATCGTGCCATTGCACTCCAGCCTGGGCAACAAGAGCAAAACGGTCTCAAAAAAAGAAAGAAAGAAAGAAAAACCAGCGAAAGCCCAGCTTGAGCAGCCAATGGCACAAGGACGTCACTGTAACTGACAGATACGCCTGCTCTGCCGCTGGACCTGATCTTGTGTGGGGAGTTCTGATCAGTAGCAGGCACTATTTTGAAGCACCGTGTCTGGTTTCTGTCCTCTTGCTGTCACGTGACAGAAAATTCCTCTCTCATGCCATCCTTGGAAAACTCCTTTCTTCAAAAAGATCTCCCTTCCGTAGTCCTCCCATTAGAATCCTTTGCACTCTGTACAAAAAGACAAACATTCTGATAAGTCCATCAACATCAGGCAGAGTTGTTGGAGACCCAAGGAGATGGGCTACAGAAGTCTTTATACACACACCGGGTGGTACTCACTGTCTCTCAGCACCAAATTCACTTACTGGTACTTGGCTCTGTGGTGCCAGGGCTGGGAGCTGTGTATTTCTCGCATTCTGTCTCCAGCTGACCTTCTGACCATGGGCAGCACCAGTAAGAGCCTGAGACTACCTTCTGTCTCCAGTGCCTGTCAGCGACTCTCCGGCGACAGGCAACGGCGCCAGCTCCAGACTCCAGCTGCTCTGGGCCTCCCAGCATCAGCCACACCATGCCCTTCAGAAGTCCCACCACCAGCCGGGCACAGTGGCTCACACCTGTAATCCTAGCACTTTGAGAGGCTGAGGCGGGTGGATTGCCTGAGCTCAGGAATTCGAGACCAGTCTGGGCAACATGGTGAAATCCCATCTACACTAAAATACAAAAAATTAGCCGGGCATGGCAGTGTGCGCCTGTAATCGGGAGGTTTACAGCTACTCGGGAGGCTGAGACAGGAGAATCGCTTGAACCTGGGAGGCGGAGGTTGCAGTGAGCTGAGATGGAGCCACTGCACTTCAGCCTGGGCGACAGAGCGAGACTCCATCTCAAAAAAAAAGTCCCAACACCAGCTGGGGCAGAGGGCGGAGAGGGGGGGCCCTGAAAGTTTCTGGTTTCTGGTAGCCCACCCCTTCCTTTTTGTCCTCCAGTTTGAAGAATGGCAGCTGCTTTTTGTGGTTGGTTGCTAATCTCTGGGTTATCTCAGCAGCCCTTACATGCTGTTTCAGCTTTATCTGGGTAAACATTGCCTGGTATTAATTTTGACAAACCTGCCATGCTTTTTGTTTTCTGAATGGACCCTAACTGTATATGCGATTGTATTTATTTACCCATATATGTATTTATAGTTATACCTTGCTTCATTATGGGAATACATTCTGAGAAATGTGACATTAATTGATTTTGTGGTTGTACAAAAATTTTAGCTTGTACTTACACCAAGATGGTGCAGCCTACTATACACTTAGGCTAAATGGGATAGCCTATTGCTTCTAGGCTACAAACCTGTACAGCACGTTACTGTCCTGAATACCATAGGCAATTGTAACACAATGGTAAGTATTTGTGTATCTAAACAGAAAAATACATAACAAATAAAGTATAAAAGATAAAAAATGGTACACCTGTGTAGGCCACTTATCCATGGAATTTGTTCTGGGTGAGTCAGTGAGTGAATGGTGAGTGAATGTGAAGGCCTAGGACAGTACTGGACAATATACTGTACACTTAGGCTGCACTAAAGTTATGAGCAAATACTTTTCTTTGATAATAAATTAACCTTAGCTCACTGTAACTTTCCTACTTTATGAACTTTTCCATTTATAAAATACTTTTTGACTCTTTGTAATAATAGCTTAAAACACATACATTGTACAGCTGTATAAATACATTTTCTTTATATCCCCTTTTCCGTAAGCTTTTTTCTATTTTTACATTTTTTACTTTAAAATTTTACTTTTCAATTTGTTTGTTAAAAATGAAGACACAAACACATTATCCTAGGTCTATACAGGGTCTGGATCATCAATACTTTCCACCTCCACATCTTGTCCCACTGGAAGGTCTGCAGGGGCAGTCATATGCATGAAGCTGCCATCTCCTCAGATAGCAATACCTTCTTCTGGAAAATCTCCTGAAGCACCTGAGGTTTTTTTACAGTTAACTTTTTTTTTTTTAAATAAGTAGAAAGAATATACACTAAAATAATGATAAAAGTACAGACAGTAAATACATAAACCACTAACAGTCGTTTATTATCATTATCAAGTATTAGGTACTGCACATAATTGTATGTGGTAGATTTTTACACAAGTGGCAGTGCAGTGGGTTTGTTTACATCAGCATCACCACAAATGTGGGTAATGCCTCTCACTCTGACATTACAATGGCTATGATGTCACTAGGCAATAGGAACTTTTTAGCTCCATTATAATTTTATGGGACCTTCGTTGTATATGGGGTCTGTCGTTTACTGAAATGTTGTTATGTGGTGATAACTGTATTTATATATATGTGACCAGTGTTTAAAAAAATCAGAAGAAGATATTTTCAACAAAAGCATAGTAATACGACCAAAAATCATTAACACAAAACAAAAGGAAAAAAAAAAAGTTTGAAACCAGCCTGGGCAATGTCGGCAAGACCCTGTTTCTACAAAATAGCAATAATAGTAATAATAGTAAATTAGCCAGGCATGGTGTGGCATGCTTGTAGTCCTAGCTACTCAGGAGCCTGAGGCAGGAGGATTATTTGAGCCCAGGAGTTCAAGGCTGCAGTAAGCTATAATCACACCACTACACTGCAGCCTGAGTAACAGGGAAACTTGTATCCAAAAATAAAAATAAAAACATAAAAAATAAAATGGATTCAAAAAATAATTTTTGCATATGGTGCGAGGAATAAATAAAAGTTCATTTAAAAACAAAAAAGTAACCTAGAAAAGGAATGTTAAAGATTTTAAGCTGAGAAAAAATGTACATCTTTAACATCTTTATACAGCTTTTCTACTTTTTACTGGGTGAGGAGATTGAGCTCTTGCCAAGAATGTGGTTATGGCTGGGTGCAGTGGCTTATGCCTGTAATCCCAGCACTTTGGGAAGCTGAGGCAAAAGGATCACCAGAGCCCAGGAGTTCAAGATCAGCCTGGCCAACATAGCGAGACCTCATCTCTACAAAAAATACAAAAATTAGCCAGGCGTGGTGGCACGCACCTGTAGTCCTGGTGACTTGGAAGGCTGAGGCAGAAGAATCACTTGAACCCAGGAGTTCAAGGCTGCAGTGAGCTAAGGTCACACCATGGCACCCCAGCCTGGGCGACAAAGTGAGACTGTCAAAAAAAAAAAAAAAAAAGAATGTAGTTATGCTAAAGATAATGAGTTATATTTCCAAAGCTTCTGCAGAACTTTTGAGCTGCAAAGAAAAAAGACCAAGAAGTTGGTCCTTTGTTCAGCAGAGTGTCATAGATAGTCTTTAGATAGGCTGACAGGGGCCCGGAGCTTAGTTTCACAGGGAATGGGTTTGCCTATTGCTTTGCATCAGAGATTAGCAAGAATTTTGGAGAATATCTAGGGACCAATAAAGATGGAAGCAGAGAGGGCCTAAGGAGGTGCACAGCCAGCAAGTGCCCCCATGTGATCAATGAATTTTAGAATATTGGTACCTAATGTTCAACTGAATTACAACTATAAATCATAATTATAAAAGTAATATAGGCTTGCCATAAAATATTTAAGCAGTTTAAAAGTATTTAGAGTAAAAACGCCTTCCCCTCAACCATGTAAATAGCCAAAGAAATTATACCATATATATTATTCACTAGCTTTCTTTTTTCACTTAACACTACATCCTTCTAACGTCTAAGTAGTATTCCTTGTTATGAATATAACAATTATACTGTAATATGCTCCAATTGATGGACATTTAGATTGTTTTGATTTTTAAATTATCATAAAAAACGATGTCCTGTGACTTACCTACTTGTTCATGAGCACATAATTCTGTAGGAGAGATTCCTAGAAAGGAAATTGACCAGACACTGACAAATTGCCCCAAGCAGTGTTCTGGGAACCGTCCGGCCTATGCCTAGGGATGCTTCTCCACATCCCCACAGAGTAGATGTTCTCAATCTTTAAAAATGCTCTCCAGTCTGATTGGCAAATCAGGCCACCTCTGTATTTCACATTCCTTGCTTAACAACAAAGCTGAGCATTGTTAATATATTCATTAGTCAATTGTGTTGCTTTTCCTGTGGATTGCTTTTTTGTATATTTGCTTATCATTTCTGTTGGGGTGCTCATTTCTCTTACCAATTTGTAGAAATTCTCAGCTACATCATGGATCTGAACCCCCTGCTATATGTGTCACACATGTTTTTGGCTTGTCTTTATTTCCATGGCACATCTAGGAAGATGTGAACAGCCACTGTGGTCCCGGTTTTGGGATCAAGAGGCAGCTCTTTGGAGAGAGGGCAGCCAAGGTAAAGAAACACAGATGAGCCATGGAAAGAGGGCATCTGTCTTCAGTCACCTGTGCAGGGTGAGCAGTGATGTGTTGAGAAAAAAGTGTATGATTTGGAGATTAAAAGGCTACAGTTCATCCCCTGCTAGCTATGTGACCGTGGAAAAATGGTCTAACCGCTCCAAGGCTCAGTTTCTTCTATAAAGAGAGGAAGTAATGGTTACTTCATACAGGACTGTTGTGTGAAACAAATGAGTAAATTCATGTAAAGGACTTGCTTCGGGGCCTGACATCCAATCAGTGTTTGAGCAATGAACAGTTTACAGTGTGAACCCAATAAAATCACACACACAGATGCCTTTTGACGATTTTAAAGGGCTATGAACACATACTTAAGTAGCTGTTTTACACACAATTATCCGTGTCAAGCAATGCACTAGAAGTCTGTGAAACATTCAGCCACTCTCTTAGTTCTGAGTTTGGAGACTGGAATGCTCTCTGAGAGTGTCAGGTGTCCTCCCACGTTCACTGATTGGCAAAGGGGAGATGGGGGCTGGGAAGGGGGAGGCTCACTCAGGAGTCCAGACAGTGGTGGGGACAACCTGAGTGCTCAGTCGTAAAGAGGAAAGGCAGAATTTTTCCTTGCTATGGCTGGAACAAAGGCACTTTTGATGCTGGAAAACTTCGTAGATGGAAAATTTTTACCTTGTAGCTCATATATAGATTCTTATGACCCATCAACGGGGGAAGTGTATTGCAGAGTGCCAAATAGTGGAAAAGATGAGGTGAGTATATGCACTTAAAGAAGACTGAAATGTGTTTAATATGTTGGGCAATTATGGGTAACAATTTTCTAAAAACAGAGGCAGTTGGGGGAAGATGTAGGATTGTTAAACATGATAGAAGGAAGATTCGAGTTCTAAGAAGATTTACCTTGTAACTGGACTGTATGATACATAGAACAAATGTCTTACTATATTCAGAAGTAAGTCATTTTTGTAGCCAAACTAACATAGCCCCGTGTGCAGTTTGTGTGTGTGTGTAATTCTCAAACATTTCCTAATCAGTTTCTAGTACAAAGTATTATTTGTAAGAGCTATCGCTTTGTTAAATATTCCCTTTTCTCCACCAAGCACTGCTTAAATTTACCACTATATCCATGGAATTAAAAAAAAAATGTGTAGCATTACTAAAACAAATAAACAAGCAAAAAACTGTGGGCTTTATTTTAGATTGTCTTCTCATAATTTCTCATGTCTTCAAAATACCTAGTAAAATAGAATCAATCATTTGAATGATGAAACTCAAAATCAAATTCCCATATATTTTTGGAGTTAGATTTAACAGCATCTTTTTTCTTATTCAAAGTGTTTAATGGCATATGCATTACATTTTTTTAGCAATGTAGTATTAATTTTACTTGGAGAATTTTGTAAAATATTTGAGATATATTTGATTAGCTATCAATTATTGACTAGCTGATATATATATAGTCATCTGATGCCTTATGAATTATAATTTATTATTTTTAAGGCACAAAGAACTAGATTATTTAAAATATAATTATCGCCTTCATATAAAGATATATATTCTATGCAAAGTTTTTTTTGAAGAACACCGCTATTTTTTTCTCTTTTGTTAATACTTCAAATCTGTCTTGCATTTAAAATAAACCTTTAGACTTAGGGATTAATGTTTACAAATGTTGGTTAATGCATTGGTTAAATTATAATCTGCAATTTTGTTTGCTTCAAATGACCTAACACAGCTCTGGGAAATCCAGCTTTGTGTTTTCCACTCTTCCTTGTTTGCCAAAGTGAAGTTAAAAATGACAAACATGCCAAATTCAGCTGAAATATTTCCTGCAGTTAACTGCTCATATCTTTTTAGAAAATAGGGTGAGATATGGATGCACTAGCTAGTAGAGTAATAGATATGTTCAATTTCCCAGCAATCCTAATTCCAAATATCCTATCTGATCCCATAAGTCATAGTTGTTTTCTGGCTTGAAAAATACGGTTACCATACAAACCGCATGTCCAATTTCCCAAAGCATCACCCAGAAAAATGTTGCTGGTGCTGCTAACAGTGGCTCCTATTTATTCAGCTTTTGCTATGTGCTTTGCAGTCATTAAGCTCTTTTTAAAAAAATTAAAAAATTAATACATAATAATTGTACATCTTTATGGGCATATGCGACATTTTGATACATGCAGACAGTGTGTCATGCTCAAATCAGGGTAATTAGGATCTCCATCACATTAAACATTTATCATTTCTTGGTTTTGGGAACATTCCAAATCGTTCTTCTAACTATTGTGAAATAGACAATAAATTATTGTTAACTATTGTCACTCTACTAGAACTTTTTCTTTTTAATCATATTTTTGTATTAATTAGCCAACCTCTATCCACTCCTCTACCCTTCCCAGCCTCTGGTAACCATAATTCTACTCTCTACCTCCATGAGATCAACTTTTTTAAGCTTCCACATATGAGTGAGAACATGTAATATTTGTATTTTTGTGCCTGGCTTACTTCACTTAACATAATATCCTCCCGCTCAAATCGTGTTGCTGCAAATGACAGGATTTTGTTCCTTTTATGGCTGAATAATATTCCATTGTGTATATATACCATATTTTCTTTATCCATTCATCTGTTGATAGACATTAGGTTGAGTTCATATCTTGACTATTGTAAATAGTGCTGCAACAAACATGGGGGTACAGGTATCTCTTCAGTATACTGATTTCCTTTTCTTTGGATTAAAAATTCCAGTAGTGAGAGTGCTGGATCATATTATTGTTCTATTTTTAGTTTTTTGGAGAAACCTTCATATGTTTTCCATAATGGCTGCACTAATTTACTTTCACACCAACAGTGTATGTGTCTTCCCTTTTTTCTGCAGCTTCAACAGCCTTTTTTATTTCTTGTTTTTTAATAATAGCCATTTTAACTGGGATGAGATGATAACTCATTGTAGTTTTGATTTGCATTTCCCTAATAATTAGTGATGTTAAGCATTTTTTTATATACCTGTTGGCCATTTGTACATCTTCTTTTGTGGACTATCTATTTAGATCATTTGCCCATTTTTAACTTGGATTTGTTGGGGGGGGCTATTGAGTTGTATATGTATACATAAAAGCTCAAGCTCCTTATATATTCTGGTTATTAATACCTTGTCAGATGGATAGTTTGCAAATATTTTCTCCTATTCTGAAGGTTGCCTCTTAACTCTGTTGATTGTTTCCTCTGTTGTGCAGAAGATTTTTAGCTTAATGTTATTTTATTTATTTATTTATTTATTTATTTATTTAATTTTCTTTTGTTGCCTGCACTTTTGAGGTCTTACCCAAAAAAATCTTTGCCCAAATCAATGTCCTGAAGTATTTACCCTGTGTTTTCTTATAGTAGTTTCAAAGTTTTGAGTCTTAACATCTATCTAAGTCTTTAATCTGTTTTGATTTGATTTGGTGAGAGATAGGGGTCTAGTTTCATTCTTCTGCGTATGGTTATCCAGTTTTCCCAGCACCATTATTGGAAAGACTATCTTTTCACCAATGCATATTTTTGGCAGCTTTGTAAAAAACGAGTTGGCTGCAAATGCATGGATTTATTTCTGGATTATCTATTCTGTTTCATAGGTCTATGTGTGTGTTTTTACACCAGTGCCATGCTATTTTGGTTACTATAGTTTTATAGTATATTTTAAAGTCTGGTAGTGTACATTCAGTAAGCCCTTTAACATGGATTATCCAAAGAAGCAAGTTATAAGAACCTAGAAGTCTCTATTATGATTCTTATTTTACAGAGGACAGTGCTAACACTCTCATCTCTGATGCTTAGATCCATTGGTATGTGCACATGTGTGTACACACACATTTGCATTATAGCATTGCAGTTATAAGCACATACTAGAGTCAGACTGCCTGGTTCAAAGACAAGCTGCACCACTTGGTATCCATGGCCTTCACTTAGAGCTGAACTTCTGCAAGGCTCAGTCTCCTCATCTATATAATGAGGATAATAATGATATCTACTTTATAGTGTTATTCTGAGGATTAAACAGACTAATATGTGTAAAGCCCTTAGTGCTTGGCATATAGTAAATGCTTTCTATGTATTAGCTTATGCTAATATTGTTATATGTAGTACATTAATGTGTATTCTATATTACATGGACATAAGATGTGCTATAAGGCAACTTAGAAAATATGAGTGGACTTGAATTTTCTGAATAGTAAAAAGATCAGATTTTTACATTGAGTGGGAATTCATGCTCCTCTTGTTGGCTGGCAGTGGGGCTTCCTCATGGCTGCAGCTAGTGGTGGAGGAAACCAAAGCCATCTCTTCCCCCATCCTGTCTACAGGTCCACATCCGAGATTTAGTTTTTGAGGTGAAGCCACCATATTTCTAGAAATTTCTAATTAAGATGAGAATCATTTTAAACCTTACTTCAAATCAGCTAAAAGTGACTGTATTAGTTCGTTCTCACACTGCTATAAAGATACTACCCAAGACTGGGTAATTTATTAAGGAAAGAGATTTAATTGACTCACAGTTCTGCATGGCTGGGGAGGCCTCAGGAAACTTACAGTCATGGCCGAAGGGGAAGCAGGCATGTCTGGCGGCAGGCGAGACAGCGTGTGAAGCCCAGGAAAAACTATCATTTATAAAACCTTTAGATCTCAGGGGGAATCACTCACTATCATGAAAATAGCCTCCACAAACCAATCACTTTCCTCCCTCAACATCTGGGGATTACAATTCAAGATGAGATTTGGGTTGAGAAACAAAACCTAACCATATCAGTCAGTTTGCATGAGGAAAATGAAGGAGGGGTGTGGGTCAGGTTTTGAATGAGGGCTACCACAGGCTCGGGTGGCTAGATTGCTTCAGGTCAAGTCCTCCAAAAAAGATGCTCACGGCTGCCAGAAGCCTATGGAAAAGGATTCTGAGTCTGAGCCAGGGCCCAGTGGTGGAAGACAGCTGTGATTCTAATAACTTTTCATGCATGTGAGAAAGGAGAGGAGTGAGACACGGGTTAGGGATTTGTCATCACTGGAGAAGGCATTACTTAGACATTGCTGGAGAGAAGAGAAAGGCAGAAGAGGACTTGAAAATTATTTTGCCTACATCACATTTTGGCCATGAGTTGATCCTGCCCATACCTTCCCATACATATATTGTTTCCTTTTGTATGTAACTCTAAAAGCAAGTACCCAAGCCATCTGTTCAGCCACAAATCTCCTCTTCCCCAGTAAGGCCTCTTCCACTGGGCAGAACCAGGCAGCAGGCAGAGCAACCTGTGATCCTGGGAACCACCAAAATCTGGGTTTGAGTCCTGATTCTGCCACTTATTAGCTGTGTGAACTATGTCAAGTTACTTGAGTTTCTGTGTCTCAGTTTTCTCATCTGTAAATTGGGCATAGAAATACTTATTTTATAGAATTTTAAAAGGACTTAAACAAAATAATTTGTATAAAGTATTTAGCATATTCCCTTATATAAAAATTAGTCAATAAATTATGAATATAATTAGTCATTTCAAGTGAAATTGACAATCTGAAGATGTAATTTCACCCAAAATTTCAGACCTTATAAGATATGTCAGAGCTGAGTTAGAAGCTTTAGAGATTCCACATATCTAGATTAACTTTCTTCTTCTGTAATATATATACTATATATATGCACTATATATATAATATGTGTATAACATATACATTTTTTTGAGACAGGGTCTCAGTCTGTCACCTAGGCTGGAGGGCAGTGGCACAATTACAGCTCACTACAGCCTCTACCTCCTGGGCTCAAGTGATCCTCCCACCTCAGCCTCCTGAGTAGCTGGGAGTACAGGCATGCACCACCATGCCCAACTAATTTTTTTTAAAAAACTTTGTGTAGAAACAGGGTCTCACTATGTTGACCAGGCTGGTCTCAAACTCCTGGGCTCAAGAGATCCTCCCAACCCAGCCTCCCAAAGTGCTAATATTACAGGCATGAGTCATCACTCCTGGCCCACAATATTTTTAAAAATTCTAGTTTCTGAAGTGATTGAAAATGTATATCTGTTAAAATTCAAATAGCTTCTTTCTAATGCTCTGATTACCACATTCAGGATGCATTGGTTGAAATGGAGTGTGTTTCTTTGTTTCTGTGGTACCCCTCCTTTGCTGGTCATGTAAACACCTGTGTCATTTACTTGGGGGGTGGCCCAGCACTGAGGCATGCTGAATATTCAAAATTAGGTGTGGGCCAGGCGCGGTGGCTCACACCTGTAATCCCAGCATTTTAGGAGGCCGAGGCGAGTGGATCACTTGCATTCAGGAGTTTGAGACCAGCCTGGTCAGCATGGTGAAACCCCATTTCCACTAAAAATACAAAATTAGCCATGCCTGTAATCCCAGCTACTCGGGAAGCTGAGGTGGGAGAATCACTTGAACTCCGGAGGCAGAGGTTGCACTCCAGGCTGGGCTACAGAGTGAGAATCCATCTAAAACAACAACAACAACAAAATGAGGTGTATGGAGACCTGAGGATTCTGGTTTCGTCCATCCCCTCAGGAGTAACAGCTTTAAGGTGACCCTCTCTCCCATTTGTTCCTCAAAGATCGAAGCCGCGGTCAAGGCTGCCAGAGAAGCCTTTCCCGGCTGGTCATCCCGCAGCCCCCAGGAGCGCTCGCGGGTCCTGAACCAGGTGGCAGATTTGCTGGAGCAGTCCCTGGAGGAGTTTGCCCAGGCCGAGTCTAAAGACCAAGGTGAGAGTTGCCTCTTAACTGTAACATGGGACTCAGGGCATCTCTGATTATTCATGTTACCCCTCCTGGGGCCATCGGGCCAGCCCATATGCCTGCTCCTCTGTCAATAGTAGAAGTGCAGAGCAAACCCTCTCCTGCTCCAGGCCTGGGAAGGCCAGAATTTGCAGCTGGCCCATCCCATCTCATTCAGATGGCCAGAGAAAGTCACATGGCTGGACCCAAAAGCTGAGGGGCAAAGAAATATACTCTGTCCATTGGATGAAAGGAAGTGCAAATATATACAGCAAAGGGCATGGACATAGAGAGATGAAGAACTAGGGCCGATCATGCAGTCTCCTACTCATTCTAAGCAGAAAATTTCAAAGCAAAGATAATTTGAAAAGCAGTTATGCAGTCAGGTTATTTAGGATGTTTTCTGATATGTCAGTCACCATTCCACCCCCGATACATTTTCTGATTTTTTTTTCCACTCCTTCCCTGAGGTCAGGGTAATGGAGTAAATATCTGTAAATGTTTGCAAGAATATCTGTTAGGATAAGGCGAGAGTTTTAAAAATTATATGTGTGCTATAAACCAAGCCCAAATTAGAAAGCAGCCTGAGTCCAAGCCCTTGAAAAGGAAATAGTTCTCTGTTGGTGTTCCTGGCCAGTCTCCCTACATCGCTAAAGAGAACTCAGTAGCAGTCCAGGTAAGCTTCTGTTTCTCTTTCTACTCCATCCAGGAGCTAGGACGTTCAGGGCATGTGATGGGCGAGCAGGTGCCATGCAGCATCCTGTGCCAGGGAGTTCCCAGCCGCCCTTCTGATGACTCTACCATGTGTTGGGAGGTCATGAAATACACATTCCATGTGTGTGAAAGTGTTTCGTTTTCTGCTGTGCAAATACAACGGTCCTAACACCCATATTTCAATGCCTTTGTCACAGGTACAAAGCCTGGTGACTGAATTGCAAGAGTTTGTGTGGGTGAAGTGGTAGCATCTGGCAAACTGAGGATGAGAATGATGTGTTCAGTTCACAAAACAAAGATTATTGACTCAATTTTCACCCCCCACTTCAGTTTCCAACCTTATACCGAAATATTTTATGGTTTTATCAAACCATGATCAAATATTTGTGAGGTCAAGAAATGCCTGCCCCAGGCTGGAAGGAATCCAGGCCGTTTCAGTGTGAGTTGGGACACGTGGGCGGTGGAAGCTGACGGATAGAGTGTCCCCATTAGCCGATAGTGCTTTATGTTGTTTGCTTCTTACAGGGAAAACCTTAACACTGGCAAGAACCATGGACATTCCCCGGTCTGTGCAGAACTTCAGGTTCTTCGCTTCCTCCATCCTGCACCACACGTCAGAGTGCACGCAGATGGACCACCTGGGCTGCATGCACTACACGGTTCGGGCCCCGGTGGGAGTCGGTAGGTGCTGTTCAGTGAGAGCCCGCCTCCTGCTTATGCTTGCAGATGCTCACAACATTCTATGTCATTGTCCTCAAGGAACAGGCTAAGGAAAAGGAAAAGCTGATATTTTTCTTTTACCTAAAATCCATTGGCCTAAAAAATCTATTTCTAGTTTATTTTATTTGTGTCAAATTCCCTACTTTTGTTTTTTTAAACAGAGTCTCTCTCTGTCGCCCAGGCTGGAGTGCAGTGGCATGATCTCAGCTCACTAGCCACCACACCTAGCTAATTTTTATATTTTTAGTAGAGACAGGGTTTCACCATGTTGGCCAGGCTAGTCTCGGACTCCTGACCTCAAGTGATCCTCCCACCTTGGCCTCCCGAAGTGCTGGGATTACAGGCATGAGCTGTACCATGCCAGGCCTCATGTTCTCGAGTTATTCCTGAAACATTATCTTGGAAAATCATAGGGAAAAGAATGATGCTAAGAGTAAATACATAAATTCGCATGCTAGGATTTTTTTTTTTCTACTTATATTTAAAAAAGGAAAAACCAGGCTGGGCGCAGTGGCTCACGCCTGCAATCCCAGCACTTTGGGAGGCCAAGATGGGTGTATCATCTGAGGTCAGGAGTTCGAGACCAGCCTGGCCAACATGGCGAAACCCTGTCTCTACTAAAAATGCAAAAAATTAGCTGGATGTGGTGGGGCGCCTGCAATCCCTGCTACTTGGAAGGCTGAGGCAGAGAGTCATTTGAACCCAGGAGGCTGAGGTTTCAGTGAGCTGAGATCGTGCCATTGTACTCCAGCCTGGGTGACAAGAGTGAGGTTCCATCTGCAACAGCTACTTGGGAGGCTGAGGCAGGAGAGTAGGTTGAACCCGGGAGTCGGAGGTTGCAGTTAGCTGAGATCGGGCCACTGCACTCCAGCCTGGGTGATAGAGCGAGACTCCGTCTCAAAAGAAAAAAAAAAAGGAAGAACTATTTATGTACATTAAATAAATTAATAAGCGTAGGGCATGTAGTATGGTGCCAGGTATGTGATAAATAAGCCTCTACTGAGAACTATCTTACTTCATGCATTCCTTTGCCTCTTGACCTTTGGAGGAACGTATAAATAAATGTATGCGATGACTAAAACTTTCCACTAGATGTCACTGTTTCCTCGAAGAAAAAAACAATCATTTTTTAACTTGTTACATTTTATGAATATAAGTTAAAAGAAAAAAAAAATTGGGACATCTCATTGCTTTGGTTCCTTGAAACCTTCAGAAATTATGTTTTCAAGGCATTGTGGAAAGCTCTACCTCCTCCTAAGAAACGTGCTAATACATTTTGCTGCAAAAATATTTTTATCCCCTAAAGAATGGATTTTTCAATGGGAAATGTAATAATCTAAAAGATGCATTTACTTTCATAGCACAGGCTTGAGGGAAGAGTATAAAATAAGGTGAATCAATTTCCTTTCAGAAGGTAGATTTTTATATTTGTGTGTTTTGTGGTTGGAAACCTGGGTAGTTTCAGAATATTGCATGGAGACACATTCTAGCTGCTGATTACATTATTCATCCAGCAAATCTCTCTGATCAGGATACAAGTGATAATCTAGAGAGAATTTTTATTTAAAAATATTTAGCCAAAATGGATGTCACAGTCTATGTGCCAAAGGTTATTGGCTTTACTGATAGGAGGGCCCTCACAAGGAATACTCCGAACCTATTGGCCCCTATTTTATGAATAATTATAGAAAGCTTGAGATTTTATGTCTCAACCCACAACAGATTTGAAATAAAGGTAAAGAAACGTGTTAGAAGAAATAACAGCCGGACAGTTAAAATAATGAGGAAGGAGACGTTTTTGAAAAAGTAAAGCTCAGTCTATAAATCTCAAAATGCATCACATTCGGGAACTGTTTAGTGATACGTGACAACTGTTTTTTTATTTTTTATATTTTTTTGAACTTCCAGGGGACATGTGCAGGATGTGCAGGTTTTTACATAGGTAAATGTGTGCCATGGTGGTTTGCTGCACCTATCAACCCATCACCTAGGTGTTAAACCCAGCATGCATTTGCTCTTTATCCTAATGCTCTTTCCCCGACCTTCCCTGACAGGCCCTCGTGTGTGTTGTTCCTTTCCCTGTGTCCATGTGTTCTAATTGTTCAGCTCCCACTTATAAGTGAAAACATTCAGGTGTTTGGTTTTCTGCTCCTGTGTTAGTTTGCTAAGGATAATGGCTTCTACCTTCATCCATGTGCCTGCAAAGGACATGATCTCGTTCCTTTTTATGGCTGCATAGTATTTCATGGTGTATATGTACTCCATATTCTTTATCCAGTCTATCATTGATGAGCATTTGGGTTGATTCCATGTCTTTGCTATTGCTATTGTGAATAGCAAAGTGCTGCAATGAACATACGCGTGCATGTATCTTTGTAACAGAATGATTTATATTGCTTTGGCTATATGATAGGTGACAACTCTTTAGCTCTGGAGTTTGTATTGCTGTTGTTCATAATCATGAACCATCAAGAAATGGGTAAATCATATTGACTTTACTTTGTTTTAAAAGGTGCAGTTGCTTGGAATATATTTTAGACTCATTTCCCTGAAGGTGGCTACATATAAGCAAAGCTTGGGAAGAAGTTAGAAGAGTAAGCTAAGTTTCCTACAGCATGAAGGAGTTTTGTGTTAATAACCCCACTTGGCCAATCCGCCTCAGTGGGGTGTGCTGTCACAGGCAGTGCTTCTGTTCTCATCCCTTAGCTGGTCTAATCAGCCCGTGGAATTTGCCACTCTACTTGCTGACCTGGAAGATAGCTCCAGCGATTGCTGCAGGGAACACTGTGGTGGCCAAACCCAGTGAGCTGACTTCAGTGACGGCGTGGATGTTGTGCACTCTCCTGGATAAAGCAGGTAATTAGGTGTTGGGGTTGCGGGGCAGGCACAGAGTTGGAGCAAAGCTATAGTTTATAGAAATCTTCCACTCAGCAGCACAATTGATTCCAGTGACGCCTTGGGCTTTGTCTTCTGATCCTTGTCTGGGAAATCCCCTCCACCCACAGGGTTCCCTCATCCTGCTTCCTGTCTTCAACACCAGAGCGGTGCTACTGCAGGTGAGTTCCACTCCCCAGGGTGGGCCACTGGCAGCACAATAGTGACACAGACTTAAACAGCCCCATCAAATCAAAGACACCAGCCTACTCCAGAGAGTCAATTAAAATCTTAAATTGGGGCTGGGTGCGGTGGCTCACGCCTGTAATCCCAGCACTTTGGGAGGCTGAGGCAGGTGGATCATGAGGTCAGGAGATCGAGACCATCCTGGCTGATATGGTAAAACCCCGTCTCTACTAAAAATACAAAAAATTATCCAGGCATGGTGGCAAGCACCTGTAGTACCAGCTATTTGGGAGGCTGAGGCAGGAGAATGGCATGAACCTGGGAGGCAGAGCTTGTAGTGAGCTGAGATTGCACCACTGCACTCCAGCCTGGGCGACAGAGTGAGACTCTGTCTCAAAAAATAAATAAATAAATAAATAAATAATAATAAAAAATAAAATCTTAAGTTGGAATCACAAGTTAATCTTGATGACAATAAGAATATTGCTAGGTACACCTATAGTGTGCTTAGCTGTAGAATACCTAGTAGAAGTAACCCGATTTTAAGAGCTCTAAATATACATCCTTCAGTTTTCCCTGCCTTTGGGACCGCTCCTGGAAAGCTAATACAATATGGCCTCTTCCTAGCATATCAAGGTTCACGCGTTTGCTCCTTGTTCTTTTTCTGCTAATAGTTTATTGGCCGCATTCAGGATGCGCTCCTGGTTTTGTTCTGGGGTGTAGCTCCGCACAGGCACAGGCTGGCACTCTTTCAAGGTAGCAGGCGGGAGACCCCAGCAGCCCTCCTGTGAGAAGTCACCTTAATGTAAGGTCTTTTGGCCATGTCACCCCACAGCCAGGGCAGGAGTGCTGGGTGGTGGGGACAGACTCACCGTCTCTCTAGCTGAGTCTTTCCTTGCTGCCTTTCAGCTCATAGAGGGGCACTGCTGGGCTCTCCTGTATCCACAGAATGCCCGGTGGGTAAGAGCCCATCCCTCTGTCCCTCTTCAGGACACCTTTCTTAGAAGCACAGACAGACACATTAACTTCCAGTAAACCCTAGCCAGTTCTTTAGTCCACGAGGAAGATGATGGCTCAAAACTGAGGCTGTTTAGGGAACGGCACTGGGCCTTAGGATCCCAGGTCCTCCAGAGGAATGAGGCCTCCCAGCCTAGGACTCTGGGTTGTCGTCTGTGGAGATCCCAGGCTTCGAGGGGGAGGGAGTGGGGCGGGGCATATAATTTAAAAGTGCCGACCCTTCCCAGGTTCCTCCTCTACAAAAGACCCCACAGTCTAATCCCATTCTTTGTGAAATGAAGTCTGTGGTGTCTGCAAAGGCACGACATATTTCTTCCCTGCCTGGTGACTGCAGGTTCCCCAGAGTGGACTAGGCCTGGGGCTTCCCGTCTACTGGGACTTGGAGGCAGGGGTGGCGCCGCAGAACCGTGTTCCCTTAACCACTCTCTCCTGAGACCAAGCACGTCTGGATCAGTGATGAGTTATCTTTCCCAGCCAGTCTGTCCTGAATCTGGCCTGCATGAGAGTTTCTGTTTCCATCTCCGCACAGCATTGATCTTATTTCTTGTGGGCTAATAAGCCCATGAAACTAAGACAGCCCTTCTCCTCTTTCCTCCATGGGCTGAAACTTCCTCCCCTGACAAATACAGCGTGTCATCTTCACCTTGCTCCTCTCTTGAGCCCTCAGTTTCTCCACTGGGATTGGGAGGAATGTGAACCACATCTGTGTCATCTGCTTTAGAATCATGTAAGAGAAGCTTTTAGTGGGGAGGGAAAAGCGAAAATAACTAATTCATTCTGGATGTTTAAAGAGTTAGCTCCTCTAGTCCTGGGCATTTAAACAGACTTGACGGATAACCTTCCTTTGAAATAAACTCATTTTTAAAAGGAGACAGTGAATACTTCTGTGGGATTCCTGGAATAGTCATTGTTTCTTGGGGGCACCAAATATTTGCCCTAATTCCTGGAGTGCCCATTGACTGCATTTTCCTGGCCCTTCCCATTAGCTGTGTGGGGTGGTGGGGTGGGGGATGTGTGTGTGTGGGTGTGTGTGTTGGGGGGGTAGGGAACGTGTGTGTGTGGGTGTGGGTGTGGGGCAGGGGATGTGTGTGTGTGAGGGGGTGTGTGTGTGCTCTATTTAAGCCTAAAATTCTTCTTGTTGCCACCCTGCCAAGCCCCAGCATTTGAGGGGTTTCCTTCTAGTCTGTTCTCGTCTGTTCCTAACTTGTCTGTTAGCCACCTCCCCTGAGTTTTGCTAACTTGTTATTTGTCAATTAAACTGCTTTCCTTCTCTTATCACCAGAATCTCTTCAGGGTTAGAGGGCAGAGATCTTGAGAAAAATTCCATTATTTTCTGGGTAAAACGTCAAAATGGTACTGGGAAATAATGGCCAGCCGACATTAGCATCCAAGCCCAAGGGAATGTGATCAAAATGTTAATACCATCGAGGGGAAGGCAATTCACTGCGGCATGGGCTCATTTTACTGTGGGGATAAATATGCAGTGCTTCTGCATTCTCTCTCACCCTCAGTTAAAATGCTACTATGGGCCGGATGTGGTGGCTCATGCCTGCAATCCCAGCACTTTGGGAGGCCGAGGCGGGCGGATCACGAGGTCAGGAGATCAAGACCATCCTGGCCAAAATGGTGAAACCCCGTCTCCACTAAAATACAAAAAAATTAACTGGGGGTGGCGGGCGCCTGTAGTCCCAGCTACTCAGGAGGCTGAGGCAGGGGAATCGCTTGAACCTGGGAGGTGGAGGTTGCAGTAAGCTGAGATGGCGACACTGCACTCCAGCCTGGATGACAGAGTGAGACACTCTGTCTCAAAAAAAAAAACCAAGAAACTACTGTGAACATTAGCAGTGATTCCATTCATTTTTGCCTTCAGGATTGATAAAGTCTAACAGTCCACCCCCTCCTGCCCCACGCCCCATTCACCCACATGCGTATCCCATCACTGGTGGAGATGCTGGGCCCCGCCCAGGAAACTGTGGGAAACTTATCCTTGTTTCATCCCAAGGGAGGGCCTCTCCTTCCACACTTTTCTTTGCCCCAACCCAGAGCTGGGGTGCTCTCACATGGTGCCAGCCACTCCTCTGACAGTGACCTACAGTCTGGGACTGACCTAAGTTAGATTTCAACAAATGTGCACGTTGGGTACAGAGATGCAACACTTAGGCCAATCCTAAGAACTGCCTAGACACAGCGGGAATATATAGATGACTTTCTTTTTGGACATTATAGAGATGATTTTCTTTTTAAAACTTCCTCATTCATGAACCATTTCTAATTTGAATAATGTACACTAAGCATTCATTCACTCATTCATTTACTTAAGTCATTAACCTGCTGGCTTTGCTGCTTACTGGTTGTTATTCAATCTCACTTTGCCTCAAATTTCTTCCTGGTGAACTAAGTGTAATAAAACTACCTACCTCCTAAGGTTGTTGTGAGGCCAGAAGGGTGTGAGTCACGGATAGCAGTGGTGACCCCACAGTAAGCACCCTATCTAATGTTTGCATTTACTGGTCTGAGTTCCCTGTGCTATCAGCTGAAGAATCATAAGGTTCATGCATTTGGAAAGGAGGGTTTTATTTCTTATAAATCGTTGCAGCCTGCAGACTGGCCATCTTGCAGGCTGGGAAGTGTAGCCTCTGCCCAAAGTGGAGAACAAGTACTTGGAGGAGGCGTAAAGGGAACAGAAATTTATCCTGAGCAGGGTGGCTGAATATTCATGTTTAGTAGGATATGGGAGGAGTCATGAATATTTATAAACGAGAAACAGGTGCATGCATAGGAGAGCTTCATGTGTCTTCACTGGATCACGTGCTCAAAAAGATGGCAGCCTTAGCATGTTCCGAGGGTGGAGTTTTTGGTCATCTGACGTCAAAAGGTGAAGCAGAGGACATGAAAACCCTCATGACATACCCTCGGCAAGTCGGCCAAAACCAGTCCAGAGATGGTGGTCAGTTTTTAGGAAGGGATGCGTTGTGAGACTGGTGAGCTGCCACATCTAAACTGCAAAGAGGGAGGAAAATTTGGTTGCAGTTTCAGATGTTTAGCTAAAGGCGATAAAGGAATAGGTTGTTCATTTCCTGTTTTTTAGAGCTGGTTTCTGCTTACACTCAGGAAAGAATTCTGGTTAAAGATTAATAAGGAAGGGTCATACTATGGCGTGTTTGACCTCTCACCCTATAATGGCTGGGAATTCAGTTTTTAAGGTTTCTCTGGTATCCCTTTGGCCAAGAGAGGGTCTATTCAGTGAACTGGGGGAGCTTAGGATTTTATTTTTATTTCTCAATGCCAAACTAGGCTGTGGCACAGAGTATACAATGGAGGGCAAAGAACAGATACTGTTTCTGCCCTTAGCTAGTGTACCTTCTAGTTGTGTGCAGGCAATGAACAAGTACGTCCAGAAAACACATGGATAGGCCGGGTGCAGTGGCTCATGCCTATAATCCTAGTACTTTGGGAGGCTGAGGTGGGCAGATCACTTGAGGTCAGGAGTTCGAGACCAGCCTGGACAACATGATGAAATCCCCTCTCTACTAAAAATGCAAAATTTAGTCAGGCATGGTGGTGCATGCCTGTAATCCTAGCAACTCGGGAGGCTGAGGCAGGAGAATCTTTTGAACCCGGGAGGCGGAGGTTGCAGTGAGCCAAGATGGCGCCACTGCACTCCAGCCTTGGTGATAGAGCCAGACTCCATCTCAAAAATAAAATACAATAATAAAAAAGAAAACACATGCATAAATGCACAAATATACAGGGTAGCAGGGTCTTGTGATAGAAGAGATTGGGGCACCCATTTTTGGTTGTTTGTGGTACTTGTAAGTTGGCCCTACAGTGTTGTGATGTTGTTTATAAGCAAGGTGCACAGGACTTCCAACCTGAAACCCACCCTCCCTGGGAGCCTCGCCCTCCTTCCCTGGACCAAGATAGTCGATTTCTTCTTTGCTCCTCTGCCGCATGTATATACCTCTCTACTTAACATTTTCACACTGCATTGTGACTCCTGGACACCAAGATGGAGCAGGGGGCTGCTCCCCTAGTGGGCTTGACCTGCCTGAGACTATCTCTGCATCCTCAAGCCCTAAGGCCTAGCCAGTATTATGGAACGAATCACCTAAAATATGTTCCACCCTGCGTCTCTCTAGGGCAAAGCATCCGGTGGAATCCTACCTGGTGTGTACTGTGGGCTGAGGTGACTCTGTGGGTTTTGCTTTGCTATTAAACCAGAGGCAGTCATGAAAGCCCCAAGTGTTGTAAAACCCAAGTGCTTCCTCCATCCCCACCCACTCCCATTCAAGCGATTGGACTTTCAAGGAGAATTTCCATGTAACTTGAACTCTTCAACATACCGAGAATTACTATAACTGATATGGTTTCCTATCCAGGTGTTCCACCAGGTGTGGTCAATATTGTGTTTGGAACTGGGCCCACGGTGGGTGAGGCCCTGGTGTCCCATCCAGAGGTGCCCCTGATCTCCTTCACCGGGAGCCAGCCCACCGCCGAGCGGATCACCCAGCTGAGCGCTCCACACTGCAAGAAGCTCTCCCTGGAGCTGGGGGGCAAGAATCCTGCCATCATCTTCGAGGACGCCAACCTGGATGAGTGCATTCCAGCAACCGTCAGGTCCAGCTTTGCCAACCAGGTGTGTCCCCTGGGGTTCTTCTCCCTCCCCTCCATGGCCCTGTCAAGCTGGATCTGGTTCATCACAGTGCAACGCCTGGAGCAAGCAGCTCAATCCAGTGCCATTTCCGTGAAGGCAGGATAAGTACATTGTGTGATTCCCTTAACTCGCTGCTCAATTTGAACATTAATTAGTGGCCCTGTGGAGTCACAGCTTCTGTTCAGCAAACTCCTCTTCTTGAGTTGCACAGCTTTTATCAGGCACCAGCCACGGGTGGAATGATTGATTTTGCTGCTCCGAGCATCTCCATTTCTTTATTCACACAGTTGTCCTGTCTTGTCTTTTATTCTTTTCTTAAACCTTGTCTTTGCTTGTGGTTCAAATGTCCTATTCCCAGTAAACCTGACTCTCATTTCAAAAGTATTCCAAATGCATTCATACACTGAGTTCCAAATACCTGAAACTGACTAGAGAAGATTTCTCGGCGTGGATTCATGGATCACTTCAGGGCATCGTTGTAGCTCCTGAAATTACATAACAGATATTTCTCTGGGCTCTGTAGTTTTTGGCAGATTCTTTAAGGCTATGGCATTCCAAAGAGTTAAGAACACTAGACCAGATCAACTAAACAGTAGGCTGCAAGAAGATGGAAACGGTGCCTGCTTTTGTGTGGTATTTTCAATGTCAATGCTTAGAATACTGCCTAGGATATAGCAGATGTACATAAACACTGGATGATTTTCTTCAAAGGATATTTTTATTTTAACAGAGAATAAAGACATAGGCCAAAGACTTAGAACTTCACAGAAGGAAAGAGCAGTGAAATGAGAGATATCTGTATTGAACTAACTCAGGTGACATTGAATATTGCATAAACTTTTGAACCTGCATTGCTTCACTGACAAAATCATGTGAACAATAATGATGTCTTCTAACAGGGTTTTCATGAGTATAGAGTGAAAAGTGTTACTTTTAATTATTATCTTCATGATAATCATAAGTGTAATTATTTCTCTCACTGTAACTCTTGAAGTGGCTAGAAAGATAGTTTCTGGATCAATAGACAATGTACTTTTACAACACAACTAATTTAACCATTAAGCAAGTTTCAAGTGAACAATTAAACCAAGTGTTTTCATGGCTTAGAGACAACAACAGAGGGACAAATTTTGTGGACTGAGAAACTAAGATGAGAGAAAGGTAAACTCTGTACTAAACAAATTCTGAGGAGCTGGGTGTGGTGGCTCACACCTGTAGTCCCAGCACTTTGGGAGGCCGAGGTGGGTGGATCACCTGAGGTCAGGAGTTCGAGACTAGCCTGGCCAACATGGCAAAACCCCGTCTCTACTAAAAATACAAAAATTAGCTGGGCATAGCGGTGGGCACCTGTAATCTCAGCTACTTGGGAGGCTCAGGCAGGAGAATCTCTTAAAACCGGGAGGCGGAGATTGCAGTGAGCTGAGACTGCACATCTGCACTCCAGCCTGGGTGATAAGAGCAAGACTCCATCTCAAAAACAAAACAAAAAAACAAATTCTGAGCATGGAGATAAGAAGTGTAAGCTTCTCTCCTACCAGAATTGTGCAAGGATTTGAGTTTGCCCAGATAACCTTCCTTTTGGGAGTGTTTTAAAATGTCAATGGGGAAAGAGACATACACCTAACTCATTGGCCAATCCAAAGTCACAAATGGATTTTAGGCAAAATACATAAAGCAGCTTGATTTAGCTGAGCAATGAATTCTATGTCGTGCATATTTCTTCCTTAATTGAATGTAATTGGCTTTTTTGAAGCATCTCTGTGTGACCTTGGACACGTACTAATTCAAAACATTTTTTCCTAACTGTAAACTGGAAAAGCTAACAGGCTACGGAATTATTTGTAATGAGGAAAGCACCCTGCGCAGTGTCTGGCTTGACGATAGGCACTCAGTGAATGATACTATCCTTTTCTTACTCTCTCCAAAGTCTTTCTTCTGGGCATCTTGGTATGCTTACCGATGCTTTCTGAGCACTGAGCAACAGGGAACTGGGTAAACCCCTCTAGCCTCTTGGTCATGCTCTCCTTCCCTGATGTCACAGGACACTTGTGCAAATGAAAGTATCAAGTGTTTAGACATTTCCCAAGCTAGATATGGAGATGATCCTAACAGCAATCCTGGTTGCAGAAAGAATATATTATTTCAAAACATTAATGGTTTAATCTGGACAATGAATCTTTGTACAAATACCGGGACAATCAGGAGGCTTCTATTTCCTAGGATTTTTGTGAAGTCAAACACAAATATGGTGAAAATGTTTATGGATTTATGTACTTGTCATGCATAAATGATGCTTTGAAAGTCTAGAATGTGGTTTGTAAACTGTTACATGCTATATTCAAATGATAGGGTTATTTTTCACTGAGAAATCTGTTATAACCCCTCCCCTGCGCACTCAGCATCTCTATTTGATGTTTGTGAGGCATCTGAAACCCAGCGTGTCCAAAGCAGAGCTCTCATTTCCCTCCCTCTCCCTTCCTTGCAATACCAATCCTCTTCCCACCTCAAGTCTGCCCTTCCAGGGAACAGCACCACCATCTCCTGTGCGGCCTACTCTTGTTCTTGCCCTCTCTTTCCATTGACAGGTCCTGTTGGTTCTATCTTTAAGGTATATCCTGAATCCCATCACTTCTCCAGTGCATCTGTGCCAGCTTCATCACTCTTCGGAGGTCCCGGGCCCCTAGAAGAACCTGTTGAACTCAGCGGGTCCTTTTCACATCTCTGCATCTCCATGGATGCCTCCCTGGTCCCAGCTACCTACACGCATCTGGACTTCTGGAATATTCTCTTAACTCCTCTGCTCTGTTCCTACACTTGTTTCCTTCCATCCTATTTTCCCAGAATGAGCATGTTAAAATGTAAATCTGATCGTATCATTCTGATGCTTAAAACCTTCCCTCATTTTTTCATGATACTGAGAATAAAACATAATCTCTTTATGAGACTATAAGACTGCACAATAGAGCCTTGCTAGCCTCCTGACCTCCTCTCCTACCATGCACTTCCTGTCCCTGCCTCCTCTTCCAGCCTCAGCCCCACCAGCTGCTTTTCCTCATGCACGCCAGCTCATTCCTGCTGCAGGTCCTCTGTACTTACTCTGAAGAATTCCCCGCCTCCAGATCTTCTCCCGTCTCGTGGCTTCACATCAGTCAAGATTCCAGGCAAATACCCCCTCTTTGCACGTGCCCCCCATGACTCCCTTCTGTAAAACAGCTGCCCCTGCGCCTGCCGTCAGTTTCTGTTCCCATCCTCTGCTTAATTTTCTTTTATGACTTTGATCACAAGCTGAAGTTATATTATTTATCGAGTTTTTGTACTTGTGTTTTTGTTTGTCTTTCCCACAAGACTATGTGTTCCACATGGTGGGGAGTTTGTCTTATTTACCATTGTACTCCATTGCCTAGACCAGTGCCTGACACATGGCAGGTACTCAAAAGTGCAGAGTGCTCTATCCATGAAGGAGAGTGTCTCCAGCCTTGTCCCTGTTCTCATTCTTGGCAGGGTGAAATCTGTCTCTGTACCAGCAGGATCTTTGTCCAGAAGAGCATCTATACTGAATTTTTAAAGAGATTTGTAGAAGCTACCAGAAAGTGGAAAGTCGGCATTCCCTCTGATCCATTGGCCAGCATGGGTGCTCTGATAAGTAAAGCACATTTGGAGAAAGTGAGTAAATTTCTGCCATGTAAGTTACAGAATAAGTTCTTATTTGAAGAGAAGCTCAGTACGAGCATTGCACACATCAGACTCTGAAATATTGTTAGTTACTACCCCATTTTTGGGCACAGAGTCTAGACACTGTGGATAAGAATATGCAAATGCAGTCCTGGTGAAAGTGCATCCACATGAAATTAATGAACTTGAGAAGTCGGCGTGGATATACCACCAGTAGAGAGGGGAAGCCAAATTTCAAAACAGAAAGATCAGCTAATAAGGGTGATGTGGAAGAGTGCCAGTGATTTCCATAGGCAAGCATTCTCTTTGGAAAAGGTCTGCCTCTGGTTTATAGCCAGAAGTGCCAACACAAGCAGTCCAAATTGTGTCGTCCTTAGTCAGTGGGGGACCAGGGGTAGCCCATCTGGAAGAAACCACTGATAGTCTCTGAGTGATTGATGAAACTCAGATCTTTAGGGTCATTTTTTAAGAAAAGCAGATCTGGCCCTTGACTGCAATTTAGGATTATTTTAATTTATTACCAGATGTGACTCCCAAAATAAGTCATACATTTTGGAGTCAGAAGGACTCTGCTTTCAGCTCAGTGCCACTGAGGGAAACTTGTCCCCATCAGCCAGCCAATGAGAGACAGAGCATTTACGTAAGTTTGTAGAAATCCCTGACACTGCACCGTGCACTCCCACATTGACTATATTTAACTTTGACTTTCAGGACACTGCAACACAGTTGCTTGCAGATGGAAAGATGAAGTAGCTTGAAGGCCTGTCCTTATTTCTTCTGTTTTCTCAGTGAAATAGGCATCAGGGTGAGGAGGGGAAAAGGTGTTGAAGGTTTCAGGAGGGAGGAGAGGGTATGAAATCATCTCGCAGTAGGTCAGGAGAACAGAACTGGGAAATGACCCAGTTATTAGCAGAGCAGCTCAAAGGGCTCACTTGAGGCTTGTAGTCTTTACTTAAAGTGAGGCTGACCAGCATGGCGTGTTTTTCTCCAGCTCAATTTACCTACAGGATTGCAGGTACATAGACAATGGTCCGCGGAATGTCCAGTGAGACCAATAGTTGTTGATGGTCACGCATGGAGTGAAGATTTTCCAGGTGCAAGAGACTCCCCTGTTCTCTCTCATTCTGGCTCTTTTGGACACTAGGGCTCCCTGCCTGCCTGCCCACACCTGCAAATGACTGGTGAAAAACAATGTTAGTATGCCCCCGATCGCTTCCTGGGAAACAGGAAGGGGTGGAACAAAAGTTAACCTCCTAGAGTACCTTTCAGCAGGTTCAGGCAATACTGCAGGGTGAGGTTCCCTGTGCAATTCACTCACTCAGAATTTCAAAGTTCTTTCTGTATCAACTCAACAGATACACTATTTTTTTCTATTTTAGTCGCTACCATAATAACTATTCTAGTTACCCAGTGAGAGAATATATATTAGTGAAACAAATAGAAGTAGTGACTTTTCTGTATCAGTTGAATGATCTCTCTCTCTCTCTCTCTGTGTGTGTGTGTGTAAGAGAGAGAAATCGATGCCACGCTTTGACTCATATTGGTAGCTATGGTTTTTCTCTGTGATACTCTAAATAATTTGTCTTCAATATGTTGTAATTCCTGTGGACTTTCATACAATATTTTTGATGCCCAGTATGTTCCTCCTTGGCCACAGGAGGTTTCTTCTTTTTTTTTTTTTAACATATACTAAGCTGAAATGAGCCACTGTTGGAGAATTAAATATTTAATATTGTGATGACTTAAACAAGACGCTAATGAGTTCTAGTAATTGGCATAGACTGCAGATTCTATGTGTTTATGAAATGCAACACTAAATAGGCCACATGCCCTCACCTTTAAAACCACTCCAGAAGCCCTCTCTTTAACCCGCTCTCTTGTCCTTCTGAGCCCACCGGAGGCCCACCTGTAGGCATCTCTGTCCTGTGACAACAGGCGGCCTCAGGTGGTCTCAATTGCTCTGCTACACATGGACAACAAGACCTCTCTCTACTGAGTCTTGGTTCCTTTCAGTGGAGAATGGTGATCAAGGCCAGCATTTGAGCTTAAGGGCGACCATTAGGGGATTTCCTATGACATAACAAGTAGCTTAATGACATCCAAGAAGAGGTCAAGAAGAGGTGGCTTAAAACCTTGTGATGCTTCACACACACTGCCCTTTTTTTATTTTTTATTTTTGTTTATTTATTGTTTTGAGATGGAGTCTCACTCTGTCACCTAGGCTGGAGTACAATGGCACGATCTTGGCTCACTGCAACCTCCACCTCCTGGGTTCAAACAATTCTCCTGCCTCAGCCTCCCAAGTAGCTGGGACTACAGGTGTGTGCCACCACGCCCAGCTAATTTTTGTATTTTTAGTAGAAACAGGGTTTCACCATGTTGGCCAGGCTGATCTTGATCTCCTGACTTCAGGTGATCTGCCCACCTTGGCCTCCCAAAGTGCTGGGATTAAAGGTGTGAGCCACTACACCTGGCCACACTGCCTGTTTTAAGAAGGGTCCTGGCTGGGTGCGTTGGCTTATGCCTGTAATCCCAGCAGTTTGGAAGGCTGAGGCGGGTGGATCATTTGAGGTGACGAGTTCAAGACCAGCCTGGCCAACATGGTGAAACCCCGTCTCTACTAAAAACACAAAAATTAGCCAGGCAGTGGTGGTGCGCACCTATAATCCCAGCTATTTGGGAGGCAGAGGCAGGAGAATCACTTGAGCCTGGAAAGTGGAGGCTGCAGATTCCGCTACTGCCCTCCAGTCTGGGCCACAGAATGAGACCCTGTCTCAAACAGCAACAGCGACAACAGCAACAACAGAAGGTTCCTGAGCCCATGCTGACGTTTCTAATGTAGCGAAATTACCTTTTAAACCTTGCTCTAATATCGTAGTAATTTCATCACTGGTGATGATGTGTCATGCTGTGTATGGTCATACCCCATGTTACTCAGAGTCAATGCCTAAGTCTTTAGAATAACCTAAGAAACTGGCTACGATCTTTCCCGTTACCTCTGTGACCCTTCCCTTTCCTTATTCCGCTCCTGCATACTGGCTTCCCTGTTCTTCCTGAGGAATACCAGGCACCCTCCTCCTTCTGGGCGGTTGCTCTTGTTGCTCACGCTGCCTGGAATGTTCTTCCTTCGGATGTATGCGTGGCTCTCTCCTTCCCCTTCTTAGAGTAGATGTCGCCTGAATGATGGCTTTCCTGCCTACCCTATACACAGTGGTACCTTGTAAAACTTTGACTTCTTTGGAGCTTTATTTTTCTCCATGGTTCTTACTGTCATCTGACATGCAATATATATGTCTTACCCCTTTACTGACTATCTTCTCTGGACTAGAATGTCAGCTTCTTGGTCTATTTCATTCATTGCTGTATCTTTAGACTCTAGAAGGCTCCTGGAACATAGTAGGTGCTTAGTATTTGTTGGGCGAATGACTGAATTAACACTACATGATGTGTTCCAGTTACAGTATATCCCCCAAATTTAAGGTATCCATTTTCTTTGAATTTTTTTTTTTGATCCTTAGATTAAACTACCTGGAATTTGGTCCAAAATGCACAGGTCCTGGCCATCTCTGGCCAGCATGACTCAGCATCAAGACTCTGAAAGGAAAAACAAAATAAATACAAAAACTAGAACCCAGCCTTTCTCCAAGAAAATGCTTGAACCATCCGATCCTGGAGTCTCTAGTATCACTGATCACTAAATCATAACAATGATAAAGGGGCTATATAGACACATACATGCGTTTGAGGTTTGGCTTGAAATTCCTCTTTAACTGTTCACCATTGGTACAAGTATTGGTGATTCCAGCTTAGGTCACAAGTAGTTTTGGTATCTAACTCTAGTTTTCTGAAAACATTTGGTTAAATATGGATCTTTAATACCTCAAGAGTATACAAATCTAACTTTTTAAATGCCAATTTAGGAATCTAAAAAATTACATCTAGATTATTATCAAAAATAATTTCAGATTTCTATAGCATTACTACAAATACACAAGTGAAAAAATTTCTGCAGATTCATATTTCTCCACTGTCCTTGTGTTTCTCAAGAATCAACTTATTAAAAAGATACCAAAATATTTCTATTATAACACATTTTAGTTATAGACACCATTCACATTTGGAATGCCTCCCAAATTCTTAAACTTTAGTTTTGTGTTTCGGTGATTCCTAGTAGTTTTCATCACCCATAAAATAAACACAGAATTTAGCGAGTTTAGGTGTCAGAATACTTCAGCATAAAATATCCATATTTTTCCCTAGAGTAAAATATATACCCTGAACATTGTGTCTACGAGTGACTCCACAGAGAAGACCTAGATTACCTTTTCTTCAGTAGGTTTGTGGTTAGAATCTTTCAACCTAAAATAACAACATAGAGAAGGACTCTCTAAAGAAAATAAAAGCGACTTTCTTTGGGAATTAATGCCAGAAGATTATGAACTGGGATATGCGTGTTGTGATGGATTCTGGGCATAGCCAGGGAGGTAAAGGAAGACGAGGGTTTTTAAAGGGAAAATGAGGAAGGTGACAGAATGTTGTTTTGAAACAATTATCGTTGGCTACAAGGATCAATAATAAGGGTGATTTATTATTAAATGGGAGCACCAGTCCAAGGCTGAATGGACAGTTGCTGTATAAACATCCTTGTAGAAGTATTTTTTGGGCAAGGTTGCGGTGGCCTTTGTGCAAGGTTGTGGTTTTGGTAGAGTCTCTTGTGATAGTTTTTGTTATCAGGCAAATATGTGTGAGGACTCTGTCCGTGGCAGATGGTAGCAGAGGACTCAGTTTGCAAGTTCATGTCTCAGAAGCACAGGCATACATGTGGGAGGGACACCCTACTCTGAGTTTCTGAAGATGTGTCGCTCTCTGGCCGGCCCTCCTTCTGCCTCAGCCCAGCTCTCTATTTGGATTTTGTCAAGCAAGTTCTTATCTGAATCCAGACTAAGACATGCAGGGAGAGCTTGGTTTCCCTAGGACTTACCTTGTTCTGG